AGAGTGGTTCTAGAGTGGTTCTAGAGAGAGTGGTTCTAGAGAGAGTGGTTCTAGAGAGAGTAGTTCTAGAGAGAGTGGTTCTAGAGAGAGTGGTTCTAGAGAGAGTGGTTCTAGAGAGAGTGGTTCTAGAGAGAGTAGTTCTAGAGTGGTTCTAGAGAGAGTAGTTCTAGAGAGAGTGGTTCTAGAGAGAGTGGTTCTAGAGAGAGTAGTTCTAGAGTAGTTCTAGAGAGAGTGGTTCTAGAGAGAGTAGTTCTAGAGAGAGTGGTTCTAGAGAGAGTAGTTCTAGAGAGAGTGGTTCTAGAGAGAGTAGTTCTAGAGAGAGTAGTTCTAGAGTAGTTCTAGAGAGAGTGGTTCTAGAGAGAGTGGTTCTAGAGAGAGTAGTTCTAGAGAGAGTAGTTCTAGAGAGAGTAGTTCTAGAGAGAGTAGTTCTAGAGAGAGTAGTTCTAGAGAGAGTGGTTCTAGAGAGAGTAGTTCTAGAGAGAGTAGTTCTAGAGAGAGTAGTTCTAGAGAGAGTAGTTCTAGAGTGGTTCTAGAGAGAGTGGTTCTAGAGAGAGTAGTTCTAGAGTGGTTCTAGAGAGAGTGGTTCTAGAGAGAGTGGTTCTAGAGAGAGTGGTTCTAGAGAGAGTGGTTCTAGAGAGAGTGGTTCTAGAGAGAGTGGTTCTAGAGAGAGTGGTTCTAGAGAGAGTGGTTCTAGAGAGAGTGGTTCTAGAGAGAGTAGTTCTAGAGAGAGTGGTTCTAGAGAGAGTAGTTCTAGAGTGGTTCTAGAGAGAGTGGTTCTAGAGAGAGTGGTTCTAGAGAGAGTGGTTCTAGAGAGAGTAGTTCTAGAGAGAGTGGTTCTAGAGAGAGTGGTTCTAGAGAGAGTGGTTCTAGAGAGAGTAGTTCTAGAGAGAGTGGTTCTAGAGAGAGTGGTTCTAGAGAGAGTAGTTCTAGAGAGAGTAGTTCTAGAGAGAGTGGTTCTAGAGAGAGTAGTTCTAGAGAGAGTAGTTCTAGAGAGAGTGGTTCTAGAGAGAGTAGTTCTAGAGAGAGTGGTTCTAGAGAGAGTAGTTCTAGAGTAGTTCTAGAGAGAGTGGTTCTAGAGAGAGTGGTTCTAGAGAGAGTGGTTCTAGAGAGAGTAGTTCTAGAGAGAGTAGTTCTAGAGAGAGTAGTTCTAGAGAGAGTGGTTCTAGAGAGAGTGGTTCTAGAGAGAGTAGTTCTAGAGAGAGTAGTTCTAGAGAGAGTGGTTCTAGAGAGAGTGGTTCTAGAGAGAGTGGTTCTAGAGAGAGTGGTTCTAGAGAGAGTAGTTCTAGAGTAGTTCTAGAGAGAGTAGTTCTAGAGAGAGTGGTTCTAGAGAGAGTAGTTCTAGAGAGAGTGGTTCTAGAGAGAGTGGTTCTAGAGAGAGTAGTTCTAGAGAGAGTAGTTCTAGAGAGAGTAGTTCTAGAGAGAGTAGTTCTAGAGAGAGTAGTTCTAGAGAGAGTGGTTCTAGAGAGAGTAGTTCTAGAGTGGTTCTAGAGAGAGTGGTTCTAGAGAGAGTGGTTCTAGAGAGAGTAGTTCTAGAGAGAGTGGTTCTAGAGAGAGTGGTTCTAGAGAGAGTGGTTCTAGAGAGAGTAGTTCTAGAGAGAGTGGTTCTAGAGAGAGTGGTTCTAGAGAGAGTAGTTCTAGAGAGAGTAGTTCTAGAGAGAGTGGTTCTAGAGAGAGTAGTTCTAGAGAGAGTAGTTCTAGAGAGAGTGGTTCTAGAGAGAGTAGTTCTAGAGAGAGTAGTTCTAGAGAGAGTAGTTCTAGAGAGAGTAGTTCTAGAGAGAGTGGTTCTAGAGAGAGTAGTTCTAGAGAGAGTGGTTCTAGAGAGAGTGGTTCTAGAGTAGTTCTAGAGAGAGTGGTTCTAGAGAGAGTGGTTCTAGAGAGAGTGGTTCTAGAGAGAGTGGTTCTAGAGAGAGTGGTTCTAGAGAGAGTGGTTCTAGAGAGAGTGGTTCTAGAGAGAGTAGTTCTAGAGAGAGTAGTTCTAGAGAGAGTAGTTCTAGAGAGAGTGGTTCTAGAGAGAGTGGTTCTAGAGAGAGTGGTTCTAGAGAGAGTGGTTCTAGATAGAGTGGTTCTAGAGAGAGTGGTTCTAGAGAGAGTGGTTCTAGAGAGAGTAGTTCTAGAGAGAGTGGTTCTAGAGTTGTTCTAGAGAGAGTGGTTCTAGAGAGAGTGGTTCTAGAGAGAGTGGTTCTAGAGAGAGTAGTTCTAGAGAGAGTAGTTCTAGAGAGAGTAGTTCTAGAGAGTGGTTCTAGAGAGAGTAGTTCTAGAGAGAGTGGTTCTAGAGAGAGTAGTTCTAGAGAGAGTAGTTCTAGAGAGTGGTTCTAGAGAGAGTGGTTCTAGAGAGAGTGGTTCTAGAGAGAGTAGTTCTAGAGAGAGTGGTTCTAGAGAGAGTGGTTCTAGAGAGAGTAGTTCTAGAGAGAGTAGTTCTAGAGAGAGTGGTTCTAGAGAGAGTAGTTCTAGAGTAGTTCTAGAGAGAGTGGTTCTAGAGAGAGTGGTTCTAGAGTGGTTCTAGAGAGAGTGGTTCTGAGAGAGTAGTTCTAGAGAGAGTAGTTCTAGAGAGAGTAGTTCTAGAGAGAGTAGTTCTAGAGAGAGTAGTTCTAGAGAGAGTAGTTCTAGAGAGAGTGGTTCTAGAGAGAGTAGTTCTAGAGAGAGTAGTTCTAGAGAGAGTAGTTCTAGAGAGAGTAGTTCTAGAGAGAGTGGTTCTAGAGAGAGTAGTTCTAGAGAGAGTGGTTCTAGAGAGAGTGGTTCTAGAGAGAGTAGTTCTAGAGAGAGTAGTTCTAGAGAGAGTAGTTCTAGAGAGAGTAGTTCTAGAGAGAGTAGTTCTAGAGAGAGTAGTTCTAGAGAGAGTGGTTCTAGAGAGAGTGGTTCTAGAGAGAGTAGTTCTAGAGAGAGTGGTTCTAGAGAGAGTAGTTCTAGAGAGAGTGGTTCTAGAGTGAGTAGTTCTAGAGAGAGTGGTTCTAGAGAGAGTGGTTCTAGAGAGAGTAGTTCTAGAGAGAGTAGTTCTAGAGTGAGTAGTTCTAGAGTGAGTAGTTCTAGAGAGAGTGGTTCTAGAGAGAGTGGTTCTAGAGAGAGTGGTTCTAGAGAGAGTAGTTCTAGAGAGAGTGGTTCTAGAGAGAGTGGTTCTAGAGAGAGTGGTTCTAGAGAGAGTGGTTCTAGAGAGAGTGGTTCTAGAGAGGTTCTAGAGAGAGTAGTTCTAGAGAGAGTGGTTCTAGAGAGAGTAGTTCTAGAGAGTAGTTCTAGAGAGAGTAGTTCTAGAGAGAGTAGTTCTAGAGAGAGTAGTTCTAGAGAGAGTAGTTCTAGAGAGAGTAGTTCTAGAGAGAGTAGTTCTAGAGAGAGTAGTTCTAGAGAGTGGTTCTAGAGAGAGTAGTTCTAGAGAGAGTAGTTCTAGAGAGAGTAGTTCTAGAGAGAGTGGTTCTAGAGAGAGTGGTTCTAGAGAGAGTAGTTCTAGAGAGTGGTTCTAGAGAGAGTAGTTCTAGAGAGAGTAGTTCTAGAGAGAGTAGTTCTAGAGAGAGTAGTTCTAGAGAGAGTAGTTCTAGAGAGAGTGGTTCTAGAGAGAGTAGTTCTAGAGTGAGTAGTTCTAGAGTGAGTAGTTCTAGAGAGAGTGGTTCTAGAGAGAGTGGTTCTAGAGAGAGTGGTTCTAGAGAGAGTAGTTCTAGAGAGAGTGGTTATAGAGAGAGTGGTTCTAGAGAGAGTGGTTCTAGAGAGAGTGGTTCTAGAGAGAGTGGTTCTAGAGAGGTTCTAGAGAGAGTAGTTCTAGAGAGAGTGGTTCTAGAGAGAGTGGTTCTAGAGAGTAGTTCTAGAGAGAGTGGTTCTAGAGAGAGTAGTTCTAGAGAGAGTGGTTCTAGAGAGAGTAGTTCTAGAGAGAGTAGTTCTAGAGAGAGTGGTTCTAGAGAGAGTGGTTCTAGAGAGAGTGGTTCTAGAGAGAGTAGTTCTAGAGTGGTTCTAGAGTAGTTCTAGAGAGAGTGGTTCTAGAGAGTAGTTCTAGAGAGAGTAGTTCTAGAGAGAGTAGTTCTAGAGAGAGTAGTTCTAGAGAGAGTAGTTCTAGAGAGAGTAGTTCTAGAGAGAGTAGTTCTAGAGAGAGTAGTTCTAGAGAGTGGTTCTAGAGAGAGTAGTTCTAGAGAGTGGTTCTAGAGAGAGTAGTTCTAGAGAGAGTAGTTCTAGAGAGAGTAGTTCTAGAGAGAGTGGTTCTAGAGAGAGTGGTTCTAGAGAGAGTAGTTCTAGAGAGTGGTTCTAGAGAGAGTAGTTCTAGAGAGAGTAGTTCTAGAGAGAGTAGTTCTAGAGAGAGTAGTTCTAGAGAGAGTAGTTCTAGAGAGAGTGGTTCTAGAGAGAGTAGTTCTAGAGTGAGTGGTTCTAGAGAGAGTAGTTCTAGAGAGAGTAGTTCTAGAGTAGTTCTAGAGAGAGTAGTTCTAGAGAGAGTAGTTCTAGAGAGAGTGGTTCTAGAGAGAGTAGTTCTAGAGAGAGTAGTTCTAGAGAGAGTAGTTCTAGAGAGTTTCCTGCTACGGCGTTGGTGGTGGTGGTGGTGATGGTGGTGGTGGTGATGGTGGTGATGGTGATGGTGGTGATGGTGGTGGTGATGGTGGTGATGGTGGTGATGGTGGTGGTGGTGGTGATGGTGGTGGTGGTGTTGGTGGTGATGGTGGTGTTGGTGGTGATGGTGGTGGTGGTGTTGGTGTTGGTGATGGTGGTGGTGGTGATGGTAGTGGTGTTGGTGGTGGTGGTGGTGGTGATGGTGGTGATGATGGTAGTGGTAGTGGTGATGGTGGTGTTGGTGGTGGTGGTGATGGTGGTGGTGGTGGTGATGGTGGTGATGGTGGTGATGGTGTTGGTGGTGGTGGTGATGGTGGTGGTGGTGGTGATGGTGGTGGTGGTGATGGTAGTGATGGTGGTGATGGTGGTGATGGTGGTGGTGATGGTGGTGGTGATGGTGGTGGTGGTGATGGTGGTGGTGGTGGTGGTGATGGTGGTGGTGGTTCACGATGGGCGGATTCTCCTGAGCGCTGTCCACTCAGACGGGATGATCATCTCACACCTCCCTCACGGGCCAACTGCTCACTTCAAGATGAGCGGAGTTCGCTTGTGTAGCAAGCGACGGAAGGTACAGCCCAGTTGACGCATCACTCACCCACTCACTCACTCACCACTCACTCACCCACTCACTCACTCACCCACTCACCACTCACCCACTCACTCACTCACCCACTCACCCACTCACTCACTCACTCACCCACTCACTCACTCACTCACCCACCACTCACTCACTCACTCACCCACTCACCCACTCACCACTCACTCACTCACCCACCCACTCACTCACTCACTCACCCACCACTCACCCACTCACTCACCCACTCGACCACTCACTCACTCACTCACCCACTCACCCACCCACTCACTCACTCACCCACTCACCCACTCACTCACCCACTCACTCACCCACTCACTCACCCACTCACTCACCCACTCACTCATTCACTCAGACACTCACTCACTCACCCACTCACTCACCACTCACTCACCCACTCACTCACTCACCCACTCACCCACTCACCCACTCACTCACCCACTCACTCACCCACTCGACCACCCACTCACTCACTCACCCACTCACTCACCCACTCACCCACCCACTCACTCACTCACCCACTCACCCACTCACTCACCCACTCACTCACCCACCCACTCACTCACCCACCCACTCACTCACCCACTCACTCACCACTCACTCACCCACTCACTCACTCACCCACTCACCCACTCACCCACTCACTCACCCACTCACTCACCCACTCGACCACTCACTCACTCACTCACCCACTCACTCACCCACTCACCCACCCACTCACTCACTCACCCACTCACCCACTCACTCACCCACTCACTCACCCACCCACTCACTCACCCACCCACTCACTCACCCACTCACTCACCAACTCACCCACCCACTCACTCACTCACCCACTCACCCACTCACTCACCCACTCACTCACCCACCCACTCACCCACTCACTCACTCACCCACTCACTCACCCACTCACCCACCCACCCACCCCCCCACCCCCCCACCCACCCCCCCACCCCACCCACCCACCCCCCCACCCACCCACCCCCCCCACCCACCCACCCCCCCACCCACCCACCCACCCCCCCACCCACCCCCCCACCCACCCACCCACCCCCCCCCACCCACCCACCCACCCCTGTCTCTCCCCACCCCTACCACCGAAGGCTCCGGACACAGCTCCGTCATCGCTTGCCAATCCCGAGTTGATCCTCAACAACTTCACCACACGGATCGGCCTCCGTGTGGCTCGTCAGCTCGCCGCTCTGCACCCACACGGACCCAGCTTCTCGGCACGAAGAGTTCTCACGTTCCACAACCAGCGGGACTTCATCTTCTTCAGACACCACCGGTGAGGACTCAGACACTCACTCAGACACTCACTCAGTCAGACACTCACTCAGACACTCACTGACCCAGCTTCTCGGCACGAAGAGTTCTCACGTTCCACAACCAGCGGGACTTCATCTTCTTCAGACACCACCGGTCAGTCAGGCACTCACTCAGTCAGTCAGACACTCAGACACTCACTCAGACACTCACTCAGACACTCACTCAGACACTCACTGACCCAGCTTCTCGGCACGAAGAGTTCTCACGTTCCACAACCAGCGGGACTTCATCTTCTTCAGACACCACCGGTCAGTCAGTCAGACAGTCAGTCAGTCACTCACTCAGACACTCACTCAGCCACTCAGTCAAACACTCACTCAGACACTCACTCAGACACTCACTCAGTCACTCAGACACTCACTGACCCAGCTTCTCGGCACGAAGAGTTCTCACGTTCCACAACCAGCGGGACTTCATCTTCTTCAGACACCACCGGTGAGTCAGTCAGTCACTCAGACACTCACTCAGACACTCAGTCACTCACTCAGACACTCACTCAGTCACTCAGACACTCACTCAGTCACTCACTCAGACACTCACTCAGACACTCACTCAGTCACTCACTCAGACACTCAGTCACTCACTCAGACACTCACTCAGTCACTCACTCAGACACTCACTCAGACACTCACTCAGTCACTCACTCAGACACTCACTCAGTCACTCAGACACTCACTCAGACACTCACTCAGACACTCACTCAGACACTCACTCAGACACTCACTCAGACACTCACTCAGTCACTCAGACACTCACTCAGACACTCACTCAGACACTCACTCAGACACTCAGACACTCACTCAGACACTCACTCAGTCAGTCAGTCACTCACTCAGTCACTCACTCAGTCAGACACTCACTCAGACACTCACTCAGACACTCACTCAGACACTCACTGACCCAGCTTCTCGGCACGAAGAGTTCTCACGTTCCACAACCAGCGGGACTTCATCTTCTTCAGACACCACCGGTGAGTCAGTCAGTCAGTCAGACACTCACTCAGACACTCACTCAGACACTCACTCAGCCACTCAGTCAAACACTCACTCAGACACTCAGACACTCAGTCACTCAGACACTCACTCAGACACTCACTCAGACACTCACTCACTCAGACACTCACTCAGACACTCACTCAGACACTCAGTCAGTCAGTCACTCACTCAGTCAGACACTCACTCAGTCAGTCACTCACTCAGACACTCAGACACTCACACAGACACTCACTCAGACACTCACTCAGACACTCAGTCACTCACTCATACACTCACTCAGACACTCACTCAGACACTCACACAGACACTCACTCAGACACTCACTCAGACACTCAGTCACTCACTCAGACACTCACTCAGTCACTCACTCAGACACTCACTCAGTCACTCACTCAGACACTCACTCAGTCACTCACTCAGTCACTCAGTCACTCACTCAGACACTCACTCAGACACTAATTCATACACTCACTCAGTCACTCAGACACTCACTCAGTCACTCACTCACTCAGTCACTCAGACACTCAGTCACTCAGTCAGACACTCACTCAGACACTCACTCAGACACTCACTCACTCAGTCACTCACTCAGACACTCACTCAGACACTCACTCAGACACTCACTCAGTCACTCACTGACCCAGCTTCTCGGCACGAAGAGTTCTCACGTTCCACAACCAGCGGGACTTCATCTTCTTCAGACACCACCGGTGAGTCAGACACTCACACAGACACTCAGACACTCAGACACTCACTCAGACACTCACTCAGTCAGACACTCACTCACTCAGACACTCACTCAGACACTCAGACACTCACTCAGACACTCACTCACTCAGACACTCACTCAGACACTCAGACACTCACTCACTCAGACACTCACTCACTCAGACACTCACTCAGACACTCAGACACTCACTCAGACACTCACTCAGACACTCACTCAGACACTCAGACACTCACTCACTCAGACACTCACTCACTCAGACACTCACTCAGACACTCAGTCAGACACTCACTGACCCAGCTTCTCGGCACGAAGAGTTCTCACGTTCCACAACCAGCGGGACTTCATCTTCTTCAGACACCACCGGTGATGACTCAGACAGGCACTCAGTCAGTCAGTCAGACACTCAGACACTCAGACACTCAGTCAGTCAGTCAGTCACTCAGTCAGTCAGTCAGACACTCACACAGACACTCACACAGACACTCAGTCAGTCAGTCACTCAGTCAGTCAGTCAGTCAGACACTCACACAGACACTCACACAGACACTCACTCAGTCAGTCAGTCACTCAGTCAGTCAGTCAGTCACTCAGTCAGTCAGTCACTCAGTCAGTCAGTCAGTCACTCAGTCAGTCAGTCACTCACACAGACACTCACTCAGTCACTCACTCAGTCACTCACTCAGACACTCAGTCACTCACACAGACACTCACTCAGTCACTCAGTCAGTCAGTCACTCACTCACTCAGCCACTCACTCAGACACTCAGTCAGTCACTCAGACACTCACTCAGACACTCACTCAGACACTCAGACACTCACTCAGTCAGTCAGACACTCACTCAGACACTCACTCAGACACTCACTCAGACACTCACTCACTCAGACACTCAGACACTCACTCAGACACTCACTCAGACACTCACTCAGACACTCACTCACTCAGACACTCACTCAGACACTCACTCACTCAGACACTCACTCAGACACTCACTCAGACACTCACTCAGACACTCACTCAGACACTCAGACACTCACTCACTCACTCAGACACTCACTCAGACACTCAGTCACTCACTCAGACACTCACTCAGACACTCACTCAGACACTCAGTCAGTCACTCACTCAGTCACACAGTCACTCACACAGACACTCAGTCACTCACTCAGACACTCAGACACTCACTCAGACACTCACTCAGACACTCAGTCACTCAGACACTCACTCACACACGCAGACACTCACTCAGTCAGTCACTCACTCACACAGACACTCAGTCAGTCAGACACTCACTCAGACACTCACTCAGACACTCACTCAGACACTCACTGACCCAGCTTCTCGGCACGAAGAGTTCTCACGTTCCACAACCAGCGGGACTTCATCTTCTTCAGACACCACCGGTCAGTCAGTCAGTCACTCAGTCAGTCAGTCAGTCACTCAGTCACTCACTCAGACACTCAGACACTCACTCATACACTCACTCAGACACTCAGACACTCACTCACTCAGTCACTCACTCACTCACACAGACACTCAGTCACTCACTCAGTCACTAACTCATACACTCACTCAGACACTCAGACACTCAGTCACTCAGTCACTCACTCAGACACTCACTCAGTCACTCAGACACTCAGTCATTCACTCAGTCAGTCACTCAGACACTCACTCAGACACTCATTCACCCACTCAGTCACTCAGACAGTCACTCAGACAGTCACTCAGACAATCACTCAGTCAGACACTCAGACACTCACTCAGACACTCACTGACCCAGCTTCTCGGCACGAAGAGTTCTCACGTTCCACAACCAGCGGGACTTCATCTTCTTCAGACACCACCGGTGATGACTCAGACACTCACTCAGTCACTCACTCAGACACTCACACTCACTCAGACACTCAGTCACTCAGTTACTCACTCACACAGACACTCACTCAGACACTCACTCAGACACTCACTCAGACACTCACTCAGTCACTCACTCAGTCACTCAATCAGTCACTCAGTCACTCACTCAGTCACTCACTCAGTCACTCAGTCACTCAGCCACTCACTCAGTCACTCACTCAGTCACTCAGCCACTCACTCAGTCACTCACTCAGACTCACTCACTCACCCACCCACTCAGTCACTCACACACTCACTCAGACACTCAGTCACTCAGTCAGTCACTCACTCAGTCACTCACTCACTCACTTACTCAGTCACTCAGTCACTCACTCAGTCACTCACTCACTCAGACACTCACTCAGACACTCACTCACTCAGTCAGTCACTCACTCACACAGACACTCACTCAGTCACTCACTCAGTCACTCAGTCACTCACTCAGTCACTCAGTCACTCACTCAGTCACTCACTCACTCAGACACTCAGTCACTCACTCAGTCACTCAGACACTCAGTCACTCAGTCAGTCACTCAGTCACTCACTCACTCACTCACTCACTCAGACACTCAGTCACTCACTCACTCACTCAGACACTCAGTCACTCAGTCAGTCACTCAGTCACTCAGTCACCCACTCACTCAGTCACTCAGCCACTCACTCAGTCACTCACACACTCACTCACTCAGTCACTCAGCCACTCACTCAGTCACTCACTCAGACTCACTCACTCACCCACTCACTCACTCAGTCACTCAGTCACTCACTCAGTCACTCACTCACTCACCCACCCACTCACTCAGACACTCACTCACTCAGTCACTCACTCACTCACTCACCCACCCACTCACTCAGACACTCACTCACTCAGTCACTCACTCACTCAGTCAGTCACTCAGTCAGTCACTTACTCAGTCACTCAGTCACTCACTCAGTCACTCACTCACTCAGACACTCAGTCACCCACCCACTCACTCACTCACTCACCCACCCACTCACTCACTCAGTCACTCAGTCACTCACTCACCCACCCACTCACTCAGACACTCACTCACTCAGTCACTCAATCACTCACTCACTCACCCACCCACTCACTCAGACACTCACTCACTCAGACACTCACTCACCCACCCACCCCCCTACCCACCCACCCCCCTACCCACCCACCCCCCCCACCCACCCCCCCCACCCACCCCCCCACTAACCCCCCCACCCACCCACCCACCACCCACCCACTCCGCAGCTACATCTTCCGTAATGAGAGACGTGTGGGCCTCAAGGAGCTGGGCCCACGATTGACGCTGAAGCTTCGCTCTCGTCAGAAGGGATCCTTCGACTCAAAGTTCGGGGACTTCGAGTGGGTCCACAAGGTCAGAGCGGGCCCGCACGGCCAGCCCCAACGTCTCTCCAACGTTGTAGACCCCAACGTTGTAGACCCCAACGTTGAAGCCCCAACGTTGAAGCCCCAACGTCTCTCTAACGTTGAGACCCCAACGTTGTAGACCCCAACGTCTCTCTAACGTTGATGCCCCAACGTCTCTCTAACGTTGAGACCCCAACGTTGAAGCCCCAACGTCTCTCTAACGTTGAGACCCCAACGTTGAAGCCCCAACGTCTCTCTAACGTTGAGACCCCAACGTTGAAGCCCCAACGTCTCTCTAACGTTGAGACCCCAACGTCTCTCTAACGTTGAGACCCCAACGTTGAGACCCCAACGTTGTAGACCCCAACGTCTAACGTTGAACCCCAACGTCTCTCTAACGTTGGAGCCCCAACGTCTCTCTAACGTTGAAGCCCCAACGTTGTAGACCCCAACGTTGAAGCCCCAACGTCTCTCTAACGTTGAAGCCCCAACGTTCAGGCTCCAACGTCTCTCTAAGGTTGAGACCCCAACGTTGAGACCCCAACGTCTCTCTAACGTTGAGACCCCAACGTTGAAGCCCCAACGTCTCTCTAACGTTGAGACCCCAACGTTGAAGCCCCAACGTTGAGACCCCAACGTCTCTCTAACGTTGAGACCCCAACGTTGAGACCCCAACGTCTCTCTAACGTTGAGACCCCAACGTTGAAGCCCCAACGTTGAGACCCCAACGTCTCTCTAAGGTTGAGACCCCAACGTTGAGACCCCAACGTCTCTCTAACGTTGAAGCCCCAACGTCTCTCTAACGTTGAGACCCCAACGTTGAAGCCCCAACGTTGAGACCCCAACGTCTCTCTAACGTTGAGACCCCAACGTTGAAACCCCAACGTTGTAGCCCCAACGTCTCTCTAACGTTGAAGCCCCAACGTCTCTCTACCGTTGAGACCCCAACGTTGAAGCCCCAACGTTGAGACCCCAACGTCTCTCTAACGTTGAAGCCCCAACGTCTCTCTAACGTTGAAGCCCCAACATCTCTCTAACGTTGAGACCCCAACGTTGTAGACCCCAACGTTGTAGACCCCAACGTCTCTCCAACGTTGAGACCCCAACGTTGTAGACCCCAACGTTGAAGCCCCAACGTCTCTCTAACGTTGAGACCCCAACGTTCAGGCCCCAACGTCTCTCTAACGTTGAAGCCCCAACGTCTCTCTAACGTTGAGACCCCAACGTTGAAGCGCCAACGTCTCTCTAACGTTGAAGCCCCGACGTCTCTCTAACGTTGAGACCCCAACGTTCAGGCCCCAACGTCTCTCTAAGGTTGGAGCCCCAACGTCTCTCTAACGTTGAAGCCCCAACGTCTCTCTAACGTTGAGACCCCAACGTTGAAGCCCCAACGTCTCTCTAACGTTGAAGCCCCAACGTCTCTCTAACGTTGAGACCCCAACGTTCAGGCCCCAACGTCTCTCTAAGGTTGGAGCCCCAACGTCTCTCTAACGTTGAGACCCCAACGTTCAGGCCCCAACGTCTCTCTAAGGTTGGAGCCCCAACGTCTCTCTAACGTTCAGGCCCCAACGTCTCTCTAACGTTGAAGCCCCAACGTCTCTCTAACGTTGAGACCCCAACGTTGAGCCCCAACGTCTCTCTAACGTTGAAGCCCCAACGTCTCTCTAACGTTGAGACCCCAACGTCTCTCTAACGTTGAGACCCCAACGTTGAGCCCCAACGTTAGCCCCAACGTCTCTCTAACGTTGAGACCCCAACGTTGAAGCCCCAACGTCTCTCTAACGTTGAGACCCCAACGTTGAAGCCCCAACGTCTCTCTAACGTTGAGACCCCAACGTTGAGGCCCCAACGTCTCTCTAACGTTGAGACCCCAACGTTGTAGACCCCAACGTCTAACGTTGAACCCCAACGTCTCTCTAACGTTGGAGCCCCAACGTCTCTCTAACGTTGAAGCCCCAACGTTGTAGACCCCAACGTTGAAGCCCCAACGTCTCTCTAACGTTGAAGCCCCAACGTTCAGGCTCCAACGTCTCTCTAAGGTTGAGACCCCAACGTTGAGACCCCAACGTCTCTCTAACGTTGAGACCCCAACGTTGAAGCCCCAACGTCTCTCTAACGTTGAGACCCCAACGTTGAAGCCCCAACGTTGAGACCCCAACGTCTCTCTAACGTTGAGACCCCAACGTTGAGACCCCAACGTCTCTCTAACGTTGAGACCCCAACGTTGAAGCCCCAACGTTCAGGCTCCAACGTCTCTCTAAGGTTGAGACCCCAACGTTGAGACCCCAACGTCTCTCTAACGTTGAAGCCCCAACGTCTCTCTAACGTTGAGACCCCAACGTTGAAGCCCCAACGTCTCTCTAACGTTGAGACCCCAACGTTGAAGCCCCAACGTTGAGACCCCAACGTCTCTCTAACGTTGAGACCCCAACGTTGAGACCCCAACGTTGTAGCCCCAACGTCTCTCTAACGTTGAAGCCCCAACGTCTCTCTAACGTTGATGCCCCAACGTCTCTCTAACGTTGAGACCCCAACGTTGAAGCCCCAACGTTGTAGACCCCAACGTTGAAGCCCCAACGTTCAGGCTCCAACGTCTCTCTAAGGTTGAGACCCCAACGTTGAAGCCCCAACGTTGAAGCCCCAACGTTGAAGCCCCAACGTCTCTCTAACGTTGAGACCCCAACGTTGAAGCCCCAACGTCTCTCTAACGTTGAGACCCCAACGTTGAAGCCCCAACGTTGAGACCCCAACGTCTCTCTAACGTTGAGACCCCAACGTTGAGACCCCAACGTTGTAGCCCCAACGTCTCTCTAACGTTGAAGCCCCAACGTCTCTCTAACGTTGATGCCCCAACGTCTCTCTAACGTTGAGACCCCAACGTCTCTCTAACGTTGAGACCCCAACGTCTCTCTAACGTTGAGACCTCAACGTTGTAGACCCCAACGTCTCTCTAACGTTGAGACCCCAACGTTGAGCCCCAACGTCTCTCTAACGTTGAGACCCCAACGTCTCTCTAAGGTTGGAGCCCCAACGTCTCTCTAACGTTGAGACCCCAACGTTGAAGCCCCAACGTCTCTCTAACGTTGAGACCCCAACGTTGAGACCCCAACGTTGTAGACCCCAACGTCTAACGTTGAGCCCCAACGTCTCTCTAACGTTGAGACCCCAACGTCTCTCTAACGTTGAGACCCCAACGTTGTAGACCCCAACGTTGAAGCCCCAACGTCTCTCTAACGTTGAGACCCCAACGTTCAGGCCCCAACGTCTCTCCAACGTTGATGCCCCAACGTCTCTCTAACGTTGTAGACCCCAACGTCTATCTAAGGTTGAAGCCCCAACGTCTCTCTAACGTTGAGACCCCAACGTTGAAGCCCCAACGTCTCTCTAACGTTGAAGCCCCAACGTCTCTCTAACGTTGAGACCCCAACGTTGAAGCCCCAACGTCTCTCTAAGGTTGAAGCCCCAACGTCTCTCTAACGTTGAGACCCCAACGTTGAGCCCCAACGTCTCTCTAACGTTGAGACCCCAACGTCTCTCTAAGGTTGAAGCCCCAACGTCTCTCTAACGTTGAAGGCCCAACGTCTCTCTAACGTTGAGACCCCCCCAAACGTCTCTCTAACGTTGAGACCCCCCCAAACGTCTCTCTAACGTTGAGACCCCAACGTTGTAGACCCCAACGTTGAGACCCCAACGTTGAAGCCCCAACGTCTCTCTAACGTTGAGACCCCAATGTTGAAGCCCCAACGTCTGTCTAACGTTGAGACCCCAACGTTGAAGCCCCAATGTCTCTCTAACGTTGAAGCCCCAACGTTGAGACCCCAACGTATCTCTAACGTTGAAGCCCCAACGTCTCTCTAAGGTTGAGACCCCAACGTTGAGACCCCAACGTCTCTCTAACGTTGAGACCCCAACGTTGAAGCCCCAACGTCTCTCTAACGTTGGGACCCCAACGTTGAAGCCCCAACGTTAGCCCCAACGTCTCTCTAACGTTGAGACCCCAACGTTGAAGCCCCAACGTCTCTCTAAGGTTGAGACCCCAACGTTGAAGCCCCAACGTCTCTCTAACGTTGAGCCCCAACGTTGAGGCCCCAACGTTAGCCCCAACGTCTCTCTAACGTTGAGACCCCAACGTTGAAGCCCCAACGTCTGTCTCACGTTGAGACCCCAACGTTGAAGCCCCAACGTCTCTCTAACGTTGAGACCCAACGTTGAGACCCCAACGTCCTCTCCAACGTTGAGCCCCAACGTTGAAGCCCCAACGTCTCTCTAACGTTGAGCCCCCAACGTTGAGACCCCAACGTCAGTCTAACGTTGAGACCCCAACGTTGAAGCCCCAACGTCTCTCTAACGTTGAGACCCCAACGTTCAGGCCCCAACGTCTCTCTGACGTTGAAGGCCCCCAACGTTGAAGCCCCAACGTCTCTCTAACGTTGAGACCCCAACGTTGAAGCCCCAACGTCTGTCTAACGTTGAGACCCCAACGTTGAAGCCCCAACGTCTCTCTAACGTTAAGACCCCAACGTTGAAGCCCCAACGTCTCTCTAACGTTGAGACCCCAACGTTGAAGCCCCAACGTCTCTCTAACGTTGAAGCCCCAACGTTGAAGCCCCAACGTCTCTCTAACGTTGAGACCCCAACGTTGAGCCCCAACGTCTCTCTAGCGTTGAGACCCCAACGTTGAAGCCCCAACGTCTCTCTAACGTTGAGACCCCAACGTTGAAGCCCCAACGTCTCTCTAACGTTAAGACCCCAACGTTGAAGCCCCAACGTCTCTCTAACGTTGAAGCCCCAACGTTGAAGCCCCAACGTCTCTCTAACGTTGAGACCCCAACGTTGAAGCCCCAACGTCTCTCTAACGTTGAGACCCCAACGTTGAGACCCCAACGTTGTAGACCCCAACGTCTAACGTTGAGCCCCAACGTCTCTCTAACGTTGAGACCCCAACGTCTCTCTAACGTTGAGACCCCAACGTTGTAGACCCCAACGTTGAAGCCCCAACGTCTCTCTAACGTTGAGACCCCAACGTTCAGGCCCCAACGTCTCTCCAACGTTGATGCCCCAACGTCTCTCTAACGTTGTAGACCCCAACGTCTATCTAAGGTTGAAGCCCCAACGTCTCTCTAACGTTGAGACCCCAACGTTGAAGCCCCAACGTCTCTCTAACGTTGAAGCCCCAACGTCTCTCTAACGTTGAGACCCCAACGTTGAAGCCCCAACGTCTCTCTAAGGTTGAAGCCCCAACGTCTCTCTAACGTTGAGACCCCAACGTTGAGCCCCAACGTCTCTCTAACGTTGAGACCCCAACGTCTCTCTAAGGTTGAAGCCCCAACGTCTCTCTAACGTTGAAGGCCCAACGTCTCTCTAACGTTGAGACCCCCCCAAACGTCTCTCTAACGTTGAGACCCCCCCAAACGTCTCTCTAACGTTGAGACCCCAACGTTGTAGACCCCAACGTTGAGACCCCAACGTTGAAGCCCCAACGTCTCTCTAACGTTGAGACCCCAATGTTGAAGCCCCAACGTCTGTCTAACGTTGAGACCCCAACGTTGAAGCCCCAATGTCTCTCTAACGTTGAAGCCCCAACGTTGAGACCCCAACGTATCTCTAACGTTGAAGCCCCAACGTCTCTCTAAGGTTGAGACCCCAACGTTGAGACCCCAACGTCTCTCTAACGTTGAGACCCCAACGTTGAAGCCCCAACGTCTCTCTAACGTTGGGACCCCAACGTTGAAGCCCCAACGTTAGCCCCAACGTCTCTCTAACGTTGAGACCCCAACGTTGAAGCCCCAACGTCTCTCTAAGGTTGAGACCCCAACGTTGAAGCCCCAACGTCTCTCTAACGTTGAGCCCCAACGTTGAGGCCCCAACGTTAGCCCCAACGTCTCTCTAACGTTGAGACCCCAACGTTGAAGCCCCAACGTCTGTCTCACGTTGAGACCCCAACGTTGAAGCCCCAACGTCTCTCTAACGTTGAGACCCAACGTTGAGACCCCAACGTCTCTCCAACGTTGAGCCCCAACGTTGAAGCCCCAACGTCTCTCTAACGTTGAGCCCCCAACGTTGAGACCCCAACGTCAGTCTAACGTTGAGACCCCAACGTTGAAGCCCCAACGTCTCTCTAACGTTGAGACCCCAACGTTCAGGCCCCAACGTCTCTCTGACGTTGAAGGCCCCCAACGTTGAAGCCCCAACGTCTCTCTAACGTTGAGACCCCAACGTTGAAGCCCCAACGTCTGTCTAACGTTGAGACCCCAACGTTGAAGCCCCAACGTCTCTCTAACGTTAAGACCCCAACGTTGAAGCCCCAACGTCTCTCTAACGTTGAGACCCCAACGTTGAAGCCCCAACGTCTCTCTAACGTTGAAGCCCCAACGTTGAAGCCCCAACGTCTCTCTAACGTTGAGACCCCAACGTTGAGCCCCAACGTCTCTCTAGCGTTGAGACCCCAACGTTGAAGCCCCAACGTCTCTCTAACGTTGAGACCCCAACGTTGAAGCCCCAACGTCTCTCTAACGTTAAGACCCCAACGTTGAAGCCCCAACGTCTCTCTAACGTTAAGACCCCAACGTCTCTCTAACGTTGAGACCCCAACGTTGAAGCCCCAACGTCTCTCTAACGTTAAGACCCCAACGTCTCTCTAACGTTGAGACCCCAACGTTGAAGCCCCAACGTCTCTCTAACGTTGAGACCCCAACGTTGAAGCCCCAACGTTTCTCTAACGTTGAAGCCCCAACGTTAGCCCCAACGTCTCTCTAACGTTGAGACCCCAACGTTGAAGCCCCAACGTCTCTCTAACGTTGAGACCCCAACGTTGTAGCCCCAACGTCTCTCTAACGTTGAAGCCCCAACGTTGAGGCCCCAACGTCTCTCTAACGTTGAGACCCCAACGTCTCTCTAACGTTGAGACCACAACGTTGAAGCCCCAACGTTGAAGCCCCAACGTCTCTCTAACGTTGAGACCCCAACGTTGAAGCCCCAACGTCTCTCTAACGTTGAAGCCCCAACGTCTCTCTAACGTTGAGACCCCAACGTTCAGGCCCCAACGTCTGTCTAACGTTGAGACCCCAACGTTGAAGCCCCAACGTCTCTCTAACGTTAAGACCCCAACGTTGAAGCCCCAACGTCTCTCTAACGTTAAGACCCCAACGTTGAAGCCCCAACGTCTCTCTAACGTTGAGACCCCAACGTTGAAGCCCCAACGTCTCTCTAACGTTGAAGCCCCAACGTTGAAGCCCCAACGTCTCTCTAACGTTGAGACCCCAACGTTGAAGCCCCAACGTCTCTCTAACGTTAAGACCCCCAACGTTGAAGCCCCAACGTCTCTCTAACGTTGAGACCCCAACGTTGAAGCCCCAACGTCTCTCTAACGTTAAGACCCCCAACGTTGAAGCCCCAACGTCTCTCTAACGTTGAGACCCCAACGTTGAAGCCCCAACGTCTCTCTAACGTTAAGACCCCAACGTTGAAGCCCCAACGTCTCTCTAACGTTGAAGCCCCAACGTTGAAGCCCCAACGTCTCTCTAACGTTGAGACCCCAACGTTGAAGCCCCAACGTCTCTCTAACGTTGAAGCCCCAACGTTGAAGCCCCAACGTCTCTCTAACGTTGAGACCCCAACGTTGAAGCCCCAACGTCTCTCTAACGTTGAGACCCCAACGTTGAAGCCCCAACGTCTCTCTAACGTTGAGACCCCAACGTTGAAGCCCCAACGTCTGTCTAACGTTGAGACCCCAACGTTGAGACCCCAACGTTGAGACCCAACGTCTCTCTAACGTTGAGACCCCAACGTTGAAGCCCCAACGTCTCTCTAACGTTGGGACCCCAACGTTGAGGCCCCAACGTCTCTCTAACGTTGAGACCCCAACGTTGAAGCCCCAACGTCTCTCTAACGTTAAGACCCCAACGTTGAAGCCCCAACGTCTCTCTAACGTTAAGACCTGTGTCTCCCTCTCTCTACAGAGACACGAAATGGATTCCAGTCGCAGAAAGTTCCACCTCTGATGCAGAATTCACTCGCACACACATAGACACACAGACACACACATAGACACATAGACACAGACACACACAGACACACATAGACACACACATAGACACTCACTCACATAGACACACACATAGACACACACACATAGACACAGACACACACACACAGACACACATAGACACACACAGACACACACACACAGACACACAGTGACACACAGTGACACAGACACACACAGACACACACACATAGACACACACACATAGACACAGACACACAGACACACATAGACACACACACATAGACACACACACAGACACACACAGACATACACATAGACACACACACATAGACACAGACACACACACAGACACACAGACACACACACAGACACACACACACAGACACACACACACAGACACACACACATAGACACACACACACAGACACACACACACAGACACACACACATAGACACACACACAGACACACACACATAGACACACACAGACACACACACAGACACACACACACAGACACAGACACACACACATACACACAGACACAGACACACACACATACACACACATAGACACACACAGACACACAGTGACACACACAGACACACACACACATAGACACACACACACACATAGACACACACACACATAGACACAGACACACACAGATACACAGAGACACAGACACACACAGACACACACACATACACACAGTGACACAGACACACAGACAGACACACACAGACACACACAGACACACACACACATAGACACACATAGACACACACAGACACACACACATAGACACACACAGACACACACACAGACACAGACACACACACAGACACACACACAGACACATAGACACACATAGACACACACACATAGACACACACAGACACACACACACACAGTGACACAGACACACACACATACACACAGTGACACACACAAAGACACACAGACGCACACACACACACAGACACACAGACACACACACAGACACACACAAAGACACACACAGACACACACACAGACACACACAGACACACACACAGACACACACACAGACACACACATATACACACAGTGACACACACACAGACACACACACAGACAGACAGACGCACACACAGACACACACACAGACACACACACACAGACACACAGACACACAGTGACACACACACACAGACACACAGTGACACACACACACAGACACACAGTGACACAGACACACAGACGCACACACAGACACACACACAGACACACACAGACACACACACACAGACACACAGTGACACACACACAGATGCACACACAGACACACAGTGACACACACACACAGACACACAGTGACACACACACAGACACACACACAGACACACAGATGCACACACAGACACACACACAGACAGACACACACACACAGACACACAGTGACACACACACAGACACACACACAGACACACACACAGACACACACACAGACACACAGTGGCACACAGTGACACACACACAGACGCACACACAGACACACACACACACATAGACACACACAGACACACACACAGACACACAGTGACACACACACACAGACACACAGTGACACACACACAGACACACACACAGACACACAGATGCACACACAGACACACACACAGACACACACAGACACACACACACAGACACACAGTGACACACACACAGACACACACACAGACACACACACAGACACACACACAGACACACAGTGGCACACAGTGACACACACACAGACGCACACACAGACACACACACATAGACACAGTGACACACAGGCACACACAGATTATCGTATTCAATAAAGGTCTATCTGATGCCTCTGACTCTGTTGTTGTGCCAGGCTAGGTGCACGTCACCTGCACAGTCACCCATCAACTCAATCTCTTCTCTAGCCCACTCGCTCACTCACCCACTCGCTCACCCACTCAGCCACTCACTCACCCACTCACTCGCCCACCCGCTCACCCACCCACTCACCACTCACTCACCCACTCACCCACCCGCTCACCCACCCGCTCACCCACCCACTCGCTCACCCACTCAGCCGCTCACCCACTCACCCGCTCACTCGCCCACCCGCTCACCCACCCACTCACTCACCACTCACTCACTCACTCACTCACCCACTCACTCACCACTCACCCACTCACTCACTCGCTCACTCACCCACCCACTCACTCAATCACTCACCCACCCACTCACCCACCCACTCGATCACTCACCCACCCACTCAGCCGCCCACTCGCTCACTTACCCACTCACCCACTCATTTGCTCACTCACTCACTTGCCAACCAACCCACCCACTCACATAGCCCATCTTTGCATACACACAACCAGTCCACTGGACCTCCTGAATACCGC